ATCGCAATTCGTAAGAAGCCAAGAATCAAGATGTCGTCATCGTGGAGCCCTGCCTGGTCGCCGTCCTCGTGCGCCGTGTCCGTGTCTCCGATAGTCTAGCTCTTTGCGGCGGCGCGGCTCGCTAGCTCCGCGTGTGTAAGGCGTACGTCACGAACTCACGATCAGAGTGTGCTGTGTGCAGCATGACTCCTCGCCTCCTCTCTACCCGAGGGCCGTGGAGAAAGAAAACTAGTAAAGGCTAGTAAAGAAATGCCGATGTTATCTTTTTGGGCCGTCTAGTCAGTTCTATGTCTCTCTTCTCGTTAATTTGCTAATGCCTAATGAACTATAGAACCTGGGGTTTATATACCTAGACTTAGACCCCTTTTCCGCTTAGACCCTCGGCCATCGCACCTCGTGTCCTGCCCCTAGGGCCGGCACTGTGTGGACGACGCATGCCCACGTGCGATGAGGACGTCGACGCATGGCTTGGGGCGTGATCCAGTGCAGAAGAAGGCACATGCTCCATCTCCCTGCTACACGCTATTGCCGCTCACCTTGTCCTTGGGGCCTGTTTAGTTCCCCTCCAAAACGTCAAATTTTTCAAGATTCTCCGTCACATCGAATCTTTGGACACATGCATGAAGCATTAAATATAAATAAAAAATAAAACTAATTACACAGTTTAGATAAAATCCACGAAACGAATCTTTTAAGCCTAATTACACTATGATTGGACACTAATTGTCAAATAACAACGAAAATACTACAATGTCGTTTTGCCAAAATTTTCGACAACTAAACTGGGCCTTGGTCGGCTAGCCAACCACCTTGAGCGCACCTCCCCATGGATTGTCCTGCTGCGGAGTGGTACTATACAACAGAAAAGACATTTTGTTTGTAATTTTAGACGGTGAACAAATGATATGCCTAACCCAAAGCTAAACAATTACTACTTGATTATCTAATTATAAATTAGATTTTCCTATATTAGAAAGGTGGGAACGAGATTTACAGTTGCAGAGTGGGCGAGTGGGTGACTAGGGCGGACCCATTACACAAGGAACGGGGACGTGCCCCCCACTTAAATTTTAAGAAAATATGCCTTTTTCTGTAGGATCTCAATCATCGGCGAGTAATTTTTTTATTTTCATCCATCCTACATTTTATACCACCTTATGGGTTTTATTGAACTTTTCTCCTTATTCAACAATTGCAGTACAGCTCTCTAGCTCAATGGCCTACGCGGTCGCCGGCGTATGCCTCCTATGTGCATATCCTCGACGTGGCGGCATCAAACAACACAACAGTCCACTTTTGGCCCCTCAACTATAGGGTTCGTCTAATTTTAACCCTTAACTACGAAACCGTCTAGTGGTGATACCTCAACTGTCAAAACCGTTCACTTTTAGCATCTGGACGAGGGTAGGGCTGTGTTTGTCCTACGTGGAGCGGTTTTGACCATGCCACGCTGGCATTGACCACCACGTAGGATGCCAACCTCCATCTCAGTGACATATGGGGCCCACTCATCACCTCCCTCTCCTCCTTCTCGCGCTGCCGCCGCGGACGCTTGCGTCGCGGGTGGGGCAGCTTCGACCACGGAGCTCCAGTGCGACCGCCATCCATGGATGACGATGAGGAAGAGGAAGACGACGTGCTGCCGTTGCCAGTCCGCATCCTCTTGGGCTCCCGTGTCGAGTCCGTGGACGACGGGTCAGCCGACGCCACCATCGGCGAGGGGATCGGCTTCAGGCGTAAGTCTTCTTTGGACGAAGTCGATGGCGGGCGGGAGATCAAAGTAGCAGCCGCACCGCGGCAAGCCGCCACTTCGACATTGGACGAGGTGGACGCAAGCCTCGATCTTGGCGGGCGTCGTGCGAAGCGCGTTGAGCTCGGACAGCATCCTCACGGCAGCGCCCCACGCTACCTCTAGCCCGAGCGATGCCGACGTCGTCCCCCGCCCAGGTATCCGGCATGAAGCCGCGTAGGGGGCGCAGGCCTAGGCTTTTCCCAGTGGCAAGGCGGACCGCGACATCATGTGCTAGCAGTGCAGTGAGCACCCGTCGTGGACGCGCGAGGATCGGGAGAGGCGAGACACGCCGCCAGCGGCTTGAAGAGGACCGGCATGGCCGCGGACGGCGAGGCGGCTATGACGCGCGTGGCGGCGGCGATGGCGCGGGGGCTGCCGCGGGCAAGGTGCGGCACGAGGTCGTGCGCGAGGTGGATGGGGAGGTCGAACGCGGCGGCCACGGCAGGCGAGGCGAGGAGCTGGAGCGCGAGCGCGGAGACGTGCTGCTGGTGGGCGGCGAGCAGCAGTGGCTGAAGAGGAAAAGGAGAGGGAGAGGATGAGTGATTGACATGTGGGCCCCACATGTCACTAAGATGAAGGTCGATGTCCTACGTGGCGGTCAATGCCAGCGTGGTGTGGTCAAACCCGCTCCACGTCGGTCAAAACAACCCTGCCCGCGCCTAGGTGCTAAAAATGAACGGTTTTGATAGTTTGGGTACTAATATTAGACGGTTTTGTAGTTGAGGGTCAAAAATAGACGAACCCAATAGTTGAGGGGCTAAAAGTAGACTTAATCCTATATTATATATCATTGTTTTTTATTATATCCTTCTAATAAAATATAGATTCTTAAATTATGTACGTACTATGTAAAAAATTGTTGTGATGTGTGCGGGGCGGGGGGGTGTTGGCCCTACGAGCCCCCACTTGGCATTATTGGAGTGGAAGGGCTCGTCGATCGAGGTGGTGTGTACCATACGTACAATTCACACGTCTTCTCCTTCTCCCCATGGATTGTCCTGCTGCGTACCCAACGCCCTCTTGCTCCCAAATATAAGCCCATACGCATGAACACACATGGAAGTAGAGGATTTGAGGAGTGAGAACAGCATGGATGGAAGTTTGAGGGAGAAGCTGGAAGTTAAGATAAGCAAATTGTTTTTTCAGTCATTGGACCGGTCTTTATTTCCTATCCTGCTTCAAAGATTGTGAGAGTCCGTCATAACTAAGATGCTCAAAAAACAAAAAGTTAAGTTTTTATAGGTGCCACTACTCTAAACTCTTTCGCCCTCCACGCCACTTACATCAGATTTGACTCTAACGGTGTCAAATCGTGGGTGTGAAAAGTCAAAAATATCCTCAGATCTAAATATGATATTAATTTTTTAAGCATCTTAATGACCTCAAATGAAAAAAAATCAAAACTAGAAAGTTCTAGATCTCGACAATATCTATAGTTTATGTATAAAGATTATTTTCATTTAATTCCGTATAAAAAATATGATTTGATATGATTAATATGTGTTAGAAAAATCATACTTTTTGTACGGAATCAAAGTGAAGATAATTTTTATATAAATATTGTAACTTTCAAGTTTTGAGTTTTTTCATTTGAGATCGTTAAGATGCTCAAAAAAAATTAATTGCAGATTCATCAGAGGGTATTTTTGACTTTTCATACATGTAGTTTTACACCGTTAGAGCCAAATCTAACGGAAGTGGCGTGGAGGGCAAAAGAGTTTAGAGCAGTGGCACCTATGAGAACTCAACTTTTGTAATGGCTTGTGGATAATACCAACTTTTATAATGGCACACAAGTAAAAGCCTCTATTCTTTTGTACTCCCTCCATCTCAAATCAAATTATAAGTTATTCCAATTTTCTTAAGAGCCAAAGCATCTAAAGTTTGACCAAAATTTATATAATAAAATAATATCATTTATGATACCAAATAAGTATCATTAGATTATTTATTGACTATGTTTTCATAGTACACCTATTTCATTCATAAGTTTTTGTAACTCTCCTTATAATTTTGGTCAAATTTGAGATACTTTGACTCTTCAAGAAAGTTAAAATGACTTATAATTTGAAATGGAGAGAGTATTAACTTATATGAATCTTTTTTTATATATTTAGGGACCTTAATTAATCCGAAAGAAGATTCAACTACAAAGTTTATACGTTCTCGAGCACTACAAATGATTCAAGGTCATTTTTTAATTAGTATAGGATTTTACAAACTCGGTTACCGAAACAAACTCTCAATCTGAAGCCCATTGACAGTCATCGTGTGTCTTTGTCGTAGTTCGCCACAGCCCAGGCTGAGGTACGAGGACGATTGCTGGGACGGTGGGCTCGCACGACTGTACGAGGAAGACCGGAGCTTAACCACAACACACGTGGGAGAAAAAGGAAACGTCACGTGCCACACGTTCCCCAACGGACAGCCTCACGTGTCAGGCAGTACTAGTACCATCGCCGTGTACTCACGCGGCCACCAACGCGGACGGCACTCGTACGGGCGCCCCTCGTCCGTCGACGGGAGCGGGAATGGATCGATCCGCGCTGCTGTCGCCGTGCCGTGCCGTGCAGTAGACACACCAACCACGGCGTACGGTGACCGCTTCATCACCACCTGCGCTGCACTGCGCGCCGCCATGCCGGGTTTTTTCTTTTGCGGCCATGTTTAGTTTCCCCATGCCTGCGCGCGCCGCGCCGGTTGATGAAATTAAAAACTAATTGCATATTTGGTTGTCTTTCACGAGACGAACGTTTTGAACTTTTGCAATTATTACCAAATAAAAACAAAACGGCAAGATCAGCAGGAGGAAATTCGACGACGCCGATTCAGAGCGCAGCTGGGTCCCCTTGGATTTGGATGACCGTGACGCGTCAGTCAAAGCGGATTACACGTCCATCACTCCGTGGCTTTTGACCAAACGCCGTGGGATTGGGACTTGTTGGACTTTTGAGTCTTGGAGGGAGGCTGCTGCTCCGTGGCTTCTCGTCTCGGCAGCCTCCCGTACGATCAACATGACGAACACGAAACCGTCGTATTCCGACAGCGACCACTTACCCTACTCCACTCGTGACAAACGCACAGAGAAGTATATATATATCCAAACACTGGATTCGGTCATCGGTCGTATCCAAAACAAAACCAACCGAAACAAGGAACCTCCACAACTTCCGTTGCTACCAGACGCTGCGATCCTATCCGCCAGCTCATGGCGATCAACGACGACAACCGGTGCTGCCTGGCGTTCGCGGGGGACGACGGCGCCGAGGGCGCGACGGCCATCGAGGACCTGCCCGCGGACGTCCTGGCGCTCGTGCTCCGCCGCCTGGACGGCGCGTCGCTGGCCGCGCTCGGCTGCACGTCCGCCGCCTTCCGCGACCTCGCCGCCGACCCGGCCGCCTGGCGCGCGCTCTGCCTCGCGCTCTGGCCCTCTCTCCGCGACGTGCCCCCCGTCACAGCTGCCGGCAAGGCCCACCACCACCGGCGGCTCTTCGCCGACGCGTTCCCGTTCCCCGCCGTGCCGGTCGCAGCACTGCCACAGCCACCGACGCCCGCCGCCGCCGCCCCGCTCAGCAGCCTGCAGCTGCCCGCGCGCCTCGTCTCCGCCGTCGACCTCCGCCAGGGCGGCGCGTGCGTGATGTCCCGCGCCGTGGAGACTGACGCGTCCTCGGCCTGGTTCCTGGGCGCGCCGTTCCGCGTCGACGCGCTCGCGCAGGAGGGCTTCACGTTGCCGGCGGCGCCCATCGTCCCCGCCGAGCTCGAGCTCAGCTGGGTCCTCATCGACCCAGCGTCCGGCCGCGCCGTCAACGCCTCCAGCCGCCGCCCCGTGTCCGTGGACCGGCGGTGGCTCACGGGGGAGACCGTGGTGCGGTTCGCGCTCGTGCTCGGCGTCAGCGGCGGAGGCGTCGTGCTGGACGCCGCCGTCACGTGCGACGAGCGGTACGGCCACGTCAGGGAGGTCAGCCTGTGCGTGGAGGACGCCGAGGGCGGCGGCGTCAGCGGACGGGATGGGCTGGCCGTGGTGGCCGCGGCCATGGCGGGCGCCAGGCGGGGACGTGGCGCTGAAGAAGAGGCCAAGCTGCGGTACCAAGAGTTCGTGAAGGGGAGGGCCGACAGGAAGGAGCGGAAGGCCAGGCGGGAGGGCATCATCGACCTCTGCTGCTCCGGCGTCGGAGCGGCGGCTTTCCTGGGGTTCCTGGTGATGCTGACGGCCTGACACTCCGGTGAACGCCACGAAAGTTGCCCGAGCAATGTAAATAGTGGAAGGGAGCTATCGTTGACAAGCGCACAGACGCAATACTTGTAAATATTTAGGTCGTGTTGGGCAGAATTTATCGCTGCTACGGCTGATTTGCTGCCTATGCTGAAAAGTATAACTGATTCTAGATGATAAGCTCAAACAAACAGGGCATGTTAGTACGTACATTTTTAGCACCTACATTGTGCAGTTTACAGGATACATAAATGTTTTAACAAGAACAGCAATTTAGGCAGGGCCATCCGAGCTTGGTCAGATGACTCGTTACTCATTTCACTAATGATGATAAAGATGGTTCCACTCTCCGCTATTCTTACAAGTTTGGACATTTATGAAATGGAAGCTGAGCTAAAAAATACAACAAGGCTCCCTCCAATTTCCTGTCGATTTTAAAAACTCAACAAAGAATTGTTGATATTTTGAAAATCTTCCAAGAAAAATGTCAAACGGCAGAGTCAATATGTCCAGGAACCACCAAGGTAAACCACACGAAAAATATGGCATTTAAATTCCCTGCACAGGTCCTGTTTTACAAAATCCAGATACCCCAGGACGGGCATCGCGGAATCTAACATTCTTGGTAGTTGGTACTCAGTTACATAAATACTATATGACAATACAGTTATTTGGAAACCAGCAGGACAAATGCTTACAAGCACTGCTATAAGCACTCTACATTTGAGACAAGCTATACACAAGTTTTAAGAAATAAATCATACAAAACTCACAAGAACAAAAACAGGGGGGGCGGCAATATTTGTCGCGGCGAGCAGCTCCATAAGACTATCGTTGGTTTTTGATAAACTCCATACAGACTAGTGAGCAGTCTACATGTGCGCATTTTGCAACTCACGATATATCAAATCGATGAACTCATCATTCTGTTGGACACAGCAAGAGTTAAATCATATAGCAAATAAATATTGTTAAATTGTACAGTTTTATGCGAGGCATACCTGAACAAGTCTCTGGAGGGCATCCTTAACTTTATCCCTCGAAATAACAAGTGCATTGTGTGCAGGGGTCAGGGAAGGAGGTGGAGACGGTGGGGGGAAAGGTTGGAGTAAGGGAGTGCCATATGGAGGACGTTGAGCAGCTGTTGAAGTTGGATGAAGAGGCGGTGCTGTAGGCATCATGGATGAAGCCGGTGGTGCCACAGATGTTGAAGAAGGTGATGGAGGTGCAAAGAAAGCTGGTGTTTGAAGATTTGCAGAATGGCTGGCATGCAGATTTGTGTCATGGAGGGGAAGTGGTGGAGCTGATGAACCCCCTAAAGGATGAGGTATTTGATGTGTTGGAGTAGCAGATGGAACAATCAGCGGCACATGGGAAGATGCGACGGCCTCAGTTGATGGATGTGCTCTGGCAGCCATTTGTGCACTTGATACACTCCCAATGCTAGCAGCAGCCTGTGGATTGTTTAAAACAAAAAGGTAAGTAGGCATTACGCTATGGAAAAAAAAAATAGCCCAAACTATATACAACCATGACAAGCAAGAAGCAGTCTAAACTATACTGGTAAACATGTATCAATCAGGATGAGGCAATGGCCATCATTTTGAGACTCCAGATACATGAAGAATATTTACTATTTGAACACAACTTAAGCTACTGCAAAATATATCAAATGAACTGAAAGGCATCATATAAGGAAACAGAGCTTCACGAGGCTGGAAGAGAACATACGATGAAGTAATTAACCAGTGATTCTTCAGGTGCATCAGAAACTAGAGCAGGGGATGACAGCGGAGGTTCAAGGGGGGCATCTATAGCAGCAGATGTCGGAACAGCCTCCAGTTCTTCAAACTCACTGTTGCACATTAGAAGATACTACATAGGTGAATCCAATATATTGATCACAACAGAGCTTAGAACGTGGGAAAATATTGCCCAGTGGATCCAGAAACTAAACAAAAATACCTTTTTGCGGTAGGTACTTTTGGTTTTGGAGGCACTTTTGCATAAGCATTCAGTATTCTGCAAGAAAATGTATTGAACAAAATTTGAGCAAAAGGGAAAAGTTTCCATACCTACACAGGTCATATCAGAGTCTCCTATAATAACTCTGACCCTCATGTATCAAATGAGCATCATTCACTAGTAAAAAATCCCTAGCAATCGCATTTATTTTCTTTTCAAACCCCTCTGGTTTTCTTTTGAGATGGGCATACCACCTGCTCAGAGGATTGGAGGAAAACAGATAACTTGACTGGCATATAACAATATGCATTATTCTTGATTTACATATCAAATGTATTAACTCCCTCTAAATGACTGGATAACCTTATTCACAAATCAGTGAATGCACAGCAAATGTTTTTTTAGAGGCTTAAGAGTTAAGATTGCAGTAAATGAAACTGAGTTACAAAATATCCCTATCCCAAGTTCGGTCCTACAACCTGTATATACACATCGTAGTTCCACCTAGAGAAACTGCCTTTTGTTGGCATTGTTCAGCCCTAACAACTTAAGATCCATCCATTTGTCGCACGATAACAGTCTATCCCCTTTCGAGTTAAATTCGCTTGAATTACACATAAAGAGCTCTATACCCACTAGCACAAGTGGAACAAGCAGGAGAGAAGCTTTACCTTCCAAAAAGGCTTGCGACAGCTTCACAGTCATGCTGGTTATAAAACCAAATACCATTTACTTCTTGGGCAGCATTTCGGTACAACAAATATGGTGGCTGAAGTTCATATTCAAAATCGCTTAATAGATCCTCCACCAGATTATCTGTTAAGAAGACACTAATAAGATTTTCAAAAGAGGAATCTGGCACAATGATCAGTTTGCCTCTAAATGTACCACTTTAACAGCACAATATGAAGATTGAAGAACTTAGGCTTTCACTCCTAGTGTAGTAGCTCCTACTGATGTGATCGAGATATGAGCGTGCGTCGCTGTATTAGCTTGTCAACGTGCTGGTTTCTTTTGTAACTGGTAACCCCAGCAGATGGTTGTATTCTGTTGCTTTCTTATAAGCAGAGGTAAAACTCCTTTAAAAAAAAAGATTGAAGAACTTAGAAAAAAAAAAGGTGAGACGCTAAGCACTAACACACAAAGAATTAAATATCGTAATCACAGATCTTCATTTTATCGTGCAGAATACACAGAGTGTGGATTAAAGAATATCAGCATTCTGCTACTCAGAGGTCAAAGCACCTAGATCCCAGTACTGTTTTGTTTTTGTTTTTGGCAAGAATACACATCTCTGTGCTGAATGTTAACATCTCCTTGCAAAAAAGAAAGGAATTGATGCACAGGTATCTGAGTTCTTATTGAAAAGTTTCTCAAATGGATCAACTTTTTAAAAAAAGAAAGAGTTACTTGCCCTATTCATTGTTGTCCCTAGTGCCATTTTGTCGCCTTTCGTATTTGTACATATTTAACAGCACAAAATAAAGAACTAAGAAATAAAGCTGAGGTGGTAAGTACTAACCCACACAGAATTAAAGATTACACTCAAGGTCAAAGCACCTAGATCCCAGTACACAGTACCCTTTTCTTTTGTTTTTGCCAACAGTGCACATTTCTGTGCTGAATGTTTACTTCTACAAGCTAAAAAGGAATTGATGTGCTGGTATCTGCCTATCTGGAGTAGTTATTAAAAAAGTTCCTCAAATGGATCATTTTTTTAATTTTTTAAAGAGTTACTTGCCCTGCGTCATTTTGTCACCTTTCCTATTTGTACATGTTAGTGGTAGCATCACGAGTGGTTTGTAAAACATTATGTTGGAAGATCCGATGTATAGTCAATAATACGAGAAGCTGCAGCAGTCAGCCAATCAACGAAACCTTACATTTCTGTATTGCAGCAAAATTATTTAGTCCGCTTTAACATTTAGAGTTCTTATTAGGATGCCCTGAAGGAATGCTTAATCGCGATCCGTACTCCATAGCCTAAAGGTCCCAATGCACTTGCGACGGATCCTACAAGCACAAAATGTACTAACCAGCACACAAGCTAACGACCAAAGCAACAGGCGAGCAAAATCAGTGCAGATCGCAATGTGCGTACCAGTGTTGCGCCTGTTCATGACAATGAACTGGAACCTCGGCTGGGAGTTCCTACATGCGATCCAACAGGTTCCAGAAGCAATTAGATCACAGACGCACAGATGGAAACCCTAGAGTAGAACCCTCGATTCCCAGATCCCCGTGACTCACCTCTTGACGACGAACAGCGACCCCTCCACGTCCTTGCGGCTCTGCACAGCGCAAGCAGAGGAAAACAAACCCCGCATCAGATCGGGGTCGGATGGGATCACAGGGCGGGCAGAGGAGAGGAGGCGGAGAATCGCTAGCTCACCCACTGGTTGAGGTCGATGTTGAAGTCGTAGAGCGTGACGTGCGCGGCGGTGATGAGGATGTCCTCGACGGCGGGGTCCAGGCGCTGGAGGACTGTGAGGTTGAGCATGCGCGTGGCCTCGGCGTCCATCGCCAGGTTCGGGGTCACCTTCCCCCCGTTCGCCTGCGGCGGCGGCAGCGGCGGCATCGCTGGACTGGGCTCGGTCTCCGCGTGTTGGGAATTGGGGTGGATCTGAGAGTTGGTCTAGCTCTAGCAGCGAGAGGAACTGGGGGAGTGAGCAGAGAGACACAGCAGAGGAGCGCAGGATGTTTCCGGGACAAAATTTACAGCACCGTACACGGGACACCTCAGTCCTCACTCGCTCATGTCAAATTTTACCGAGAACCGAGAACCAAACCGAAAAAATCGAGAACCGAAATCTCGGTTCTCTGTTCGGTTCTCATTTCCTAAGAACCAAAATTTATTCGGTTAATTTGGTTCCTCCTCCTCAGTTAACCGAACTACCCGAGGAACCAAACTCCCGCCTCCCGAGTCCTGGCGCCCCCTACGACGGCCGACCTCCCGCGGCGCCGCATCCCCGCCCAGAGTCCGGCGCGCCCTCCCGAGTCGCTGATTTTTTAGAAGCCGGAGTTGTTCGGTTAGTTCAGTTCGGAACCGAAACCGAACCGAACTAACCAAAGCCGAACTTCGTCGGTACCGGTTTTTTGGAAGAACCGACCGGTACCGACTTTCCTGGGAACCGAAAAACCGAGGAACCGAGGATTCGGTTCGGTTCGGTTCGGTAGTACCAAATGCCCAGGGCTAGTCCTCACCCCTCGTGCGTGGATCCTGGATAGACGTGGCAATGGATTAGTAAAAATCCAAAACAAATCCAACTAAATTAAACGAAAAAAATTCAAGTCTAATCTAACTCAATACAAAATAACTAATGTCCAATCCGACCTTAATTTAATTGCGTTTGAGTCCAAATTCATCTAATATATCCAATAATAACAAAATTAGTGTAAGTAGATATTAATCCTATGTCAAAAGGTAGACGCTGTAACTAAAAAAACGTGTCCACAACTTAAATTTTAGCAAAATTGACTAAAAACTTGTTGGAGATCACTCAATACGATTGCTTCCTACTTTATGCAAACTAGCAAACATGTCCATGTTGCAACGGGCTCAGTATATATATTGGATGCGAGTTGTTCTAACTCGTATGAACACGGGGCATGGGTTTGGTAAATACACAAGATACGTATGTAGGACGGGACCCAATACGTATTATAATTGGGTTCTATATCCATCATCATTAGACGTGAGTTGTTCTAACTCTTATGAGTATAGGGTCATGAGCTCGGTGCTCGGATCTTATACAAAACACGGAGGGTGTGAGTGCAGTTTGAAAAGTAAAAAATGATTTATTTTTTTGCCATTAGACATCTATAAACTTGTACACAATTAGGCTAGGCATAGTAGTGACTATTAGGATAGGATTGTCTTTTATTGAACTTTGTCTAGCGTCTTTATTATTGAACGATAAATTTTTATAGACTATTCACTCCCCCTAACTATCTAAATATTTTCAGTTAGAAAGTTTCTTTACTATGCATGGAATGAGTTTTGAGCTTCATCTCTTAGCTTGGCCCGTCTAGGGGGCCGTTTGTTTGGGCTCCTGCATGCTCGGCTCCGGCTCCTTCGTCCCTGTTACTTCATGTACAATCATGTAGCAATCAAGAAAAAGGCTCCGGCTCCTGCGCAGCCCAGAGGAGAGCCAGAAGAGTTGCCGAAGGGATGCTTCTCCCGGCTCCGCTACAGTTGCGCTACAGTAGCAGAGCCAGAGCACCAGAAGCCGCGCCAAACACAGCCTAGATCTTATGGCAACATCGTGAATCGGGTCTTTACACGTGAATCAGTGAATAGCACAATGTTTTATAATCAATTTACGTATAAACAATCTCTCAATCAGCATATAAATTGCATGCCACGTTAGCACCATTTATGTGTTAATGTGTAAGTTTAAGGACCTAAATGACATCATCGTACAAGTTTTAGAACTTAAATATCAAAATTTGAGAGTTAGAGACCCAAAGGACATTATAGTAAAAGTTTAGGGTTCCATAAAGCAAAATTTAGGAGTTAGTGGCCCATATGACACTACTGTGCAAGTTAGGGAGCACTTGTGAATTTTGCTCTTTGAAATGTTACTTCTAGACTCTAGTAGGTAAACAGAGTAACGTAGCATTGCCCCTGCAAAACTGGACAAGAGATCCTGAAATTGTTAACCAACATTTCTCCTTCCCTGCGCGTTGTCCATCACTCGACTTCCGACTTCGTTGTAATGGCGTGGACTTTCTCTCGTGAGTAGCAGTCTATCACTCGATTTTATTGTAGCACAAGTGGTATTTCTAATAGAATTAATCCAACATTGATTGTTTATATAGGTTTGAACTAGCTAGTTTATAATTCTTATTGTTGTAAACTTAGCACCACTTTACACAAACGTTGCGTATCTCAATTAACTCTTTTACACTAAGTATTAAGTAGGGATGAAAGTATAGCAAATATATTCCTTTTTATTTACTTTATTTCCTAAACGAATTCAAATAAAAAAAATTGAACTAAAAAGTTTTAGATCTCTTTCGGTAATATAGTACAACTTTGGTTTATGTCATTTATCCATCCAAGATCATTTGAAAAATTCAAGAAAAATATGAATTTCAAAATCATTAGTCTTAAAATAAAATTTAGTCTCTATATGATTTCAAAAGAAAAGATTGCCAACTATAAAGTTTCATATATGTTCGAGTACTATAACTTTTGTTTAAGTCATTTATCTGATACTCTAAAAAATTCAAAAACAATGAATTTAAAAATCTAAATCTTTAAACAGAATTTCTAAACACTAAATTATTTTAAATGAAAAGGTAGTAAACTACAAAGTTACAGATCCCTTATGGTACTACAACTTTGGTTTATATCTTTTCTCCATCTGAGGTTATTTGGAATACTAAAAAAATTGAACTTCAAAATCTAAAACTTTAAACAGATTTTTTGTGCACCAAATGAATTCAAATGGTAAAGTTGTTAACTACAAAGTTTTATATCTCATGGAATACTATAACTCTACTATGGAGTTTTTCTTCATCTAACTTAATTTAAAAAAATATTAATTTTTACTATATTCCACTTATTTTTGGAGATGACTAGAATTTCAACCGTTTCTAGAAATGTCTCTGTTTCTAAAGTTGGTTGGCAAACCGCACTGAAAATAGTAGTTTTAGCTAAACCGCCTTTAGATATCAATTTGTAAAGGTGGATCGACTCATAAACCATTTTAATGCCCCATTTTGATTGAACAGTCTCTACCAAAAATACTTCGTTGCTTAAAAATTCATCTCTAGTACACTGGGATCTGTTGCACGTGAGAAGCTAAGCGGTGAGCAAATTTTTCGGCCTATGCTTGCGATAGACATCCGCCGCCCAATATTCCACCGCAGGCTTCTTTTCAAAAGGATCATGTCGGCCTATCAATGCTTGAAGTTTTGAGTTTTGACAAGCGAAGGATAAGATCGCAGGCCGCCCAACCGCGCCCAACGAGCCCACACAGTATGACCAAGTTATGGACTGCAGCCCATGTGAGAGGACCAAAGGGGTAACGGGCCACATGCAATTTTTTAGCTTTCTTTAAAATCAATATAATCTTATTTATTATAATTTCTTAAATTATTTAAGATTTAACCTTTTAAGAAAAAACAAGTTTAACCAGAGCGCTCTTAGACCAGTTTCAATGAGGGGTTTTATGTCCCAGTTTTTAAAACGCCATGGGTAAAAAACAGTGTAGATAAACCATAAAACTTATTTCATCTCATGAAACTTAGCTTGTAGTCTATTTCGTGACATGTCAACTAGTTTAACCATGAAACTCTCGTAAAACTCTGAGACCGACCTTTTAAAACAAACCACCGAACCAATTGAGCCTTTTTGTCCAGCCCGCAGAGATGTGGCCTCTTGTGATAGCCTATAGCAGTCAACGAATCATACCTATAACCTATAATAGTTACTTCCCGTCCCCAAAAAAAAATGCACTTCACGTTCTTTAAGAAGCCAAAAAAATTTCAAATTTGACTAAAGCCCTATTTAAATTAACTGAAATAAGTTGCTAATTGGTAAAAAGACATCTAGCTGATCTGAATACAACTTATAGTCTAATTTAAGCTATTTAACGACCTAGGGCCTGTTCGGCAGGACTGAAAAATAAGTCAAAATACTGTTCCGGCTGATTGTTGTGAAAGAAAAATATTGTTCTGTCTGGAAATACTGTTCACGTGAACAGTGATTTCGTGAGTGCTGGACAGCCAGCCACCAGGCAGCCGAACAAGGCCCTAGCTTATAAAAAGTTGTTAGCTAGGTCCCTCTAGCTATGACACCTTATAAAAATTTTAGTTGATCTGAGAGGGATCTAGTTTAATAAAATCTAGATTTATAAAAAAAATATCAACATTTATATCTGTGTGCTATAAAAGTATTTATTCTATAATTAATCTACTAATACTTATTAGCATCATAAATATTGTTTTTAAATAAGCTTAGTCAAACTTAAAATTGGTTGCAAGCTATGGCTAATCTACTAATACTTATTTAGTATCACAAACACTATTTTTAAATAGACATAATCAACAAACTTGAAATTGTTCATTTGAAATTGGCTACAAGCTAAAAAGATTAATAATTCCTCCGTCCAGGAAAGAATGCAACTATGAGATTCGTGTCAATCAAACTAGTTTAAGTTTGACCAAGTTTATAGTAAATAGTATTAACGCTTATATCTCCAAATAAATTTATTATGAAAATATATCCTATAACGAATACAATGATACTTATTTTGTATCATGAATGTTAGTACTTTTTTTATATAAATTTAGTCAAATTTTAAACTGTTTAACTTCTCAAAAACGAGAATTGTATTTTTTTATGGACGGAGAGAGTATACTAATACTTATTTAGTACCATAAATATTATTTTTAAATAAACTTAATCAAATTGGTTAACTTGTAAAGAGTGAGTAGTGCACTCCTTTTAAGAAGAGGAAGGAGCTGAGGAAATACGTCTTTGCTAATGGCCACACAACACAAGCGCTCGCGTCGCGATATAGGTCATCATTACCTTTTTAAGGCTTGTTTGGATGTATATGTAATTAA